GGGTGTAGCCCCAATATGGAGGTTTTGATGGTAAAGCCTGGCCCATTAAGATTAAGGTTCGTTGACTTTTTTGTGCAACATGTGATGCGTCTGACTATGGTACATGGTACTCCTTGGATCTGGGCCATTGATCTGGTGCCCTTGGACGCGTGGAGGTTGATTGCTGGGCGTGTATGATGATCCTGGCCTTGGGCGCTGCATATGAACATTTGATGAAAAACAATATTGGGATAACGTAGACCTGGGACTTGAACCCAGGTCATGATGGTTACAAGCACATACACCTGCCAGCTGAGCCATTACGTTTCAATTAACATATTATAATAAATAAATAACAAAAAGAAAAAACCAACGCGTAGTGGTTAAACGCGCGAAATTTAAAACCAGCCTATCGTTGATGGACAACACATCATCTTCTTCATTGTTTTTATTTTTTTCTGAAACAAAAGCCTATGGAAACGGTTTTGCACGCATGGTCTTAGGCTAGCTTCAAGAAAATAGCGACTAGCGCCATGATGTCAATAAATTGATCGCGAGGTATGCACTTGCTTCGTCTAAGCTTGCTGAGTCCAATGGCCATAGTCTGGAATCCTAATTTTGCCTTGGGTAGAAAACCCCAATTTTGAAAACCTGTAACCCTAGAAAGCAGTTATGGCATAATCGCGTATGGCGTGTAAAAATCCAATCAAACACGATGGTTAGTTTCAGAAGCTCAAAACAAACATGATGCCATGAATAGAATGATGTAAAAATGCTTAAAAGATGATATACGATTATAAATTTTTGGCTTTACAGTTTGAGTTACAGGTACCAATTCCTGGAGCTTTTGTGGTTGTTTTTGATTGGAGCACGTTCAGTGAGGTTCCAGGAAACTATTGAGACAAGAATGGCGCTTTGAATCGACTCCTAAAGTTGATTTCAGTTTTTGAGTTTTTCCAGCAATTTTTCAAGTTTGTACTAGCCTCTTATGCGCAGCTTTTAGTCTCCAAGGCTTAGGGTTGTGATTCTCATTATGTATGGAAGCAATTAGGTTAACAAAACTGCATAAAATCCAAGGCATTCATTGTTTTCAATATTTGATTTTCTAAGAATCTTTACATATCTTTTTCATGTGCAATTTTGTTCAATCATGCCAAATCAAACCAAAACTTGCCTAATTAGGATGTGCACGTGATATTGAGAGTAAAACATGCATGAAAAGATTTTTTAGGTCAAGTTTGATATTTTCCATGTATTTAAATAATTTAAATGAATTAATATTAATAGAAATTCAAATAAATAAATAAAAAATGAGAAAATACTTCCCTTTGGGCCAAGTGGTCGTGCATAGGCTTGGAATGATGAATCATGGAAGAAAAATGGGCCCATTAGCAAATTTAGGTCATTTGAACCATTGTTGACTTTTCAAAATTCCCAAAAATTTCCCAACTTCCACAAGGCATAACTTGCTCAATTTTTAAGCTTTTCACATGTTCTTGGACAGTTTGGAAAGGTCTTTGAGTCCTCTAACCAATGCCTTTGGTCCCATGTCATTTTTATTTACCAATCTCAAGTTATGGTCTTTGACTTAAAGTCCCTTTTTGTTGACTTTTGAAAATGACCTATAATGTTGAAATTGATAAATTTTTGTGAGAGCATTTCTTGGACTTGAAGTATGAAGATGAGTTGTAGGAAATGTCTTTCTCTTCAAAATGAGCTTTGGATGGAATTTTTCTGATAATCCATGTGAAAGTTATGCCCTGGTCAATTTCAGTTGACTTTTTCAGCTGTCCAAATATAGTAACTTTTGCATCTTTGATTATTTCTGAGCCAAATTTTGAGAATCATGATCAAGCATTGATCAAATGATGTTTGTGGCTTCAAAATGATATGTTGATAAAAAATTTGAACTTTTGACTGCCAAATGACCATTTTGCCCCTACAGTTGACTGTAGTGCAATTTAGGGTTTTGACTGTGCAATTTTGAGCTGAATGCCTTGAAACTTGATATGAAGATACTTGACCATCTTTGTAGGCATGTGAGACTTGATTGGGCCTTTGAAAACTTCATTTTCTTGATCAGAACCCAAACCCTAGTTTTGACTGTATAGGAGACAGTTGAACTGCATGACCCTTGGGGAATTTTGTGACCTGACTTGGCAATTTCTTGGAGAATATGGGAGGGCAAATTTTGGGGTGCAACAAATAGATTGGAAGGAAATTCAGAGTCAGAACCAAAACGAATCAAATAATACAAAGGGAAAGGAATTGATAGCATCTAGATTAGGTACAATAAGGAAGGTAAGTCACGTAGATTTTTATGATTGATTAATGTTGCTTTCTCTATGTGTTGTTTATAAGATTATAAACTTAGGGATTGGGAAATCTAAGGTTTGAATTAGGGTTTGTAAATGGATGATCTAGGGTTTAGAAGAGGTTTGGGTGGATTATGGGTTGCATATGTTTCTTTATGGAAATTTTAGGGTTCTAGGTTGAAGAATCTGATGAAGACTAATTGTGATTCTAGGTTCTAAGATGGTCCTAGCGGAGGCCTGGGGGTTAGGGTTCATCCTTTTTAAGGTTAGGGTTCACCTACCTTAGGGTTAGGGTTCTTGCGATGAAGATTTTGGTTTTTCCAGATGATCTTCATCTAGGTTTGATGAAGATCCCTAAGGATTCATTCATTTTTACGTTGGGGTTTGAAGATTTCGGTTACTATTCAACTGAAATTTCGGTTTCTACGGTGGTTCTAGGGCTGAGATGGGAGTTGTCCAATTTTTTATGGGAAACCATGATAGAGAGAGGTTAGAGCATTTTGGGTTTGGAGTGAGAGAGGGTTCAGAGAGATAAGTTAGAGAGAGGGAAAGAAATGGAAATGGGGGGATTTTGAAGGAAATAGGAATATATACCTCCCCCATCACGCTCTTGATCTCCAACATGTGGTCCCATGGATGGCCATGAGATTGGGAGACTTTGACCCACCTTGTGTCCATACACTTAATGTGTTCCTATTTGGCTTCTAATCTCATCCCTTCTTTTAGTATACTTTGACTAATATTTCGATCTAACACCCTGGATGAAATCCCTCGTGATCCCTTTGGTTTTGATCAAACGCATCCAGGAGAGTCAACAATTCTAACTCGCCCATAGGCTAACAGCCAGCGCCCTAGGCTTCGAAGCTCACGAGCCTCCCTCTTATTTCATAAACACCCCCCTAATTTTACTTAGCCTGCATAAATACACCCCTTGGCTCATTTGATTTTATTTTTAATTCATTCTATTTTTTGCTTCTTCTACTTTGATTTTAGGTTTATTATTAGTTTAACACTGGCCTTAATTTTATTGCAATTTAGGTCTTAATTTTCATTAATTTTAGATTTAATTATAAGCTTACATCAAACCTTTGATTAATTGAATTAGTTCAAATATGTTTGCTTGTAAATCAAAAACATCAAATTATATCCAATTCTCTTCGTGTCAAATTTTCTTTTCTTTTAACCTTAGTTTAAATCAGCTAACTTATTCCAAATATTTTTTCTATTAACATAATTCAGATAAAAAATACTTTCAAAAAGGATTTGATTCCGTCCATTAAATGCGAAATAGAAAAAAGCTATAAGTCTCCATTGTGTGATCACGCATATGTTTATCGCTCGAAGGTGACTTAACATCAATCCATAAAAAATACTAACCAAACCCTATGAACTATGTTGACTCTAATTCCATCTTTTGATGCATACATAGGCATAAGGTGTGACGCCTTAGCGAGTCCTCTAACCACTTACAATTAATATTGTTCTCATTCCTTTGTAAATGAATAATTAAAACAGATTAAGTAAAGACTAAGTAAGCAATCAAACACTTAGTAACCTTAATATTAGAGAAAGTTCCCCTTGAATACAAGGGAAGTTAGGGGTGCCTAACACATTCCCCTAACTTAATGAATCTCAAACTCTTAACTTGGTCGTGATGATAGCTTTATCCATGCCTTTAGGCTTTTTCTATTATCTCCCATGTCCATAGGACAAATAAATAATGGTGGTGACTTCATTGATTTTTTTCAGCCGCGACACTATGGTTTACATCTATTTCTACTTCTCTATCATTTTGTATTTCAAGTTTAAGATATGTAAATAAAATGACTTGTGGTATCATATGGTCTCCAACTTTCGCCTCTAGGTTAGAAATGTTTCTACTTTGTTAAAACTACATTCCATATACTCCGTCTTACTTCTGCTTTGGCGAAATTCTTGTGTTTCTAAGAACTTCTCCATGGCTCCAACTTCTAATTTAAATTCTCTTTCGACTCTCCAAGTAGGAAAATATAATCTGGAAAAATCATACATCTCGATGCTACCTCTTGGATGTATTTCGTGAGTACATCCAAAATTAAAGTAAAAAGGTAAGAGTTTAGATTGATGAACTTTGGTGCAATCCTATTGTAATGGAGAAATGGTCCGTCTCTCCACCTTAGTCTGCACACTAGTTGATATCCTCTCATACATATCTTAGATAGTTCAAATATAGATCATATAAACTCCTTTCTTCTCTAGGATTTGTTTACAAAATCTCTCTAGACACTCAATCATACGTCTTTTCCAACTCAATAAAAATTAAATATAAATTTTATTGGTTCATCTAAAACTACTCTATCACAGATTATAGTAGATATAATGCTTCCATAGTTCACCTTACAGACATAAAACTAAATTAATTATTAATAACTTAAGTTTTTTATTTTTAATCTTCTTTCAATCACTCTTTTGCATATCTTCATTTAAAATAAAATAAAAATATACACTCATTCAAAATATATGAGATTCAAATAAAACAAATTTTCAAGGTGAAGACCACACACCACTTTAGACATATTTTCAAACTATTTATGTCGATGTAAGAAAAGCTTATTTCACTTACTAACATGTGTTTTGAATTATGCATTTTATCTTAATGTTTAAAAGATAACAATTCATCCACTCCTTTAATTATACAATCTAATTGGTTTACATGTTTAAACACTATTATGCTCTTTTTATTACTCTGAGCTGGACACCATGCTTGAAATTAAGAACTAAACCATATTCAAGTTCTATAGGTTTTTCCATGCTAAGTGAATGATGAAATACATATTTTCTATATAAATGAATCAAAGTAAGTTTGATCTCTTGCAATGAAAATTTCTGGCCAATACATGCTCTTGGACCAATTCCAAATGGTATGAATGCATAAGGATGCCTTCTTTTCATTTCTTCACATTTTGGATCAAATCTCTCTGGTTTGAATTTCTCTGGCTCTGCAAAGTTTCTTGAGTCTTTTGCTAGAACTCCAAGTGCTAACCATACCCATGTTCCCTACTCATATATATAAAACTAAATTAGTAATAGACTATTGCTAAAAAAAAACTCTATAACAAAAATATACCAAATGTTTATTATGTTTAAGGTATCACCCATCAAGACGCGTGTACCAACTTCGATAAATATGATTCAAAAGACACAGATACAAACACAAACGAAATATGAACTATTTAATCTTGATCAGACGATTAAAATTAACGTATGCATAGTTGCCTAATTGGAGAGAATCTAAATACAGTAAAAATATCATTGGACTAAGAAGTGTTACCTTTGGGAGAAGGTAACCTCCTATGTCTACTTCATTTGATGTTTCTCTTGCAACCAATGGAGAGACAGTGTAAATCCTCATTGCCTCTTTAATCACCTACATTAATAAACGGAAAGAAAAAAAAAACATGTGTTCCTATCAAATTTCAAAACAAAACTTAAATTGTTCATCTTTCACCTTACCTGATCAAGATAAGGAAAACTTTGATTAAGATCTTTAGCATTAGGTATCCTATCATGTGTTCCAAACTCATCAATCTCTTGAAGCAATTTTCTCTCAACATTTATGTGACCAGCAACCAAATAAACAACAGATGACAAAGTAAAAGATGTTGTAGCTGATCCAGCAAGTAAATGTTCATAAGTAACCGCGCTTATGTAATCGAACGAAAACACATTCTCGGACACACTCTTTGATTCTCTTGCATTCAATATAAGCGACAAGAAATTCTTTGAAGTTCTTCGATTCTTATCTTCCATTCTCTTATTAACAATCTCGTCAAGACGACCGGTTAAATTTCTATTAGTACATTCCATTTTCCAATCCATAGTGCCTGGTATTCTCTTAAGAATCTGCCTAAATGGCTCTTGAAGAATTGGAGCAATTAAGCCAATTATAATCGAAAATGAACCCGACAAATCCATCTTAAGTTGTGTTGTGGAGTAAATATGTTGATTGATGAAATTTGATACTTCATCATTACTAGTACTTGAATGTTCTACATTGTTAACATTGTTCATTGATTCACAAATTGATTGAGCCTTAGAGAGACCAAAGTTGACTCCAAATGCTGCATCTCCTATGATATCAGTTGCTAGTCTTAGGGAAAGATTTGAAAAGATTATGTCTTCTTTTTGTGTGTCAAGATTTTGTGTTGCAGATTCTATAACTGATTGCATTTTTGGCACTAAGTTTGCTAAGTGCGATGGTTGGTATACCGATAATATAGTATTTCTCATAGTAGACCATTGCGAGTCTCTACAATTTCAAATGAATCGTGTTATTTAAATATCAAAATACAATATACAAAGACGTCATACCATTTTAAAGAGATTACATATATATTTTCTTTTAAGTTACATTAATCCATTGTAATACCAAACATGTACCAAGTGAAAATGACATAAATATCATTTTTTATTTTAACTTTGGATGATAAATATTTGTGAGTTGAAATCTTGCACATCAAGCATAGTGATTTTTAGAAAAATGACAAAACTTTTGGTAAACTCTTATTTGAGTGATTTTGAGGATCTTAATTTAATAATGTTGTGATCTAAAAAGTTGATGGCATTAAACTTAGTGGCTAGGCTACCCCACCTTGAAACTCACATGAAAAATGCAATGTTGACTTTTGAGGGAAAAAAGTTGTACAAACAAAGTACATTTATTTAAACCTTATCTTGCAATATATTGAAACAATTATTCAGATAAACATCTAAAATATCATTTTACCATTATGTGCATTATATGAATAAAAGTACTCATCATGCTGTATCATAATAATTCATATAAATTTGAATATGTACCTTGTGAAGAATAAACCTTTTTGGTGAAGAGGAGAAGCAGAGATAGGAGAGGGAATGCTTCTATTTGAAAGGTATTTAAATTTTTTTATTCCAACTTCTTTACAAAGCTCTGCATCTGCTATGATTATAAGAGGTTGTCTTCCCATATGAAATCTTCATGATTTAACAAATATAAAAACAATATCATCAATATGAAAATCATGATTATGTGTTTAAGGTTCATGTATATGAAAGTACAATACAAACCTGAAAATTGGGCCATACTGCTTGGCAAGGATTGAGAACACATCAGGGCCATACTTTGCTAACAATAGAAGGTGTCCTACAAGTGGAAGAGATGGTGGGCCTGGAACTTTCCTTAACCTCCAAAATGGCCCATAAAGATACCCTCCAATTAAAGCTAGTAGTGTGAATATTATTGAAACCAAAGACACACTTGAAATAAGAGTACTAAACATCATTGATTTTAAGAGCAAGTTTTTTGGTTGAAATAGAAGAATGATGAGTAGGGTTTATATAAGGTATGGGTTTGGGGGACCATGTTATTTATAAGATCGCTAAATTAGGAGTGGAGATGAGATGGTGTTTTTTGTCTATGTATGAATCATGATATAGATGAATTATAGGTTCACTACTCTCTAGCATGAAATAATGCATTTTGGTTTTCCTTAATCATTTTGAATTAATATATTTAAATCTCACACATGACCTATTATCCCATGAGTTTTTCTTTCAAAATGTTTTTGGTCTTACCTTTATTGCCCATTAAAGGTATATTTCCTATTAACTTATCATGAGTTGTTGAACATTGATGACATTTTTTAAATAATATTTATTTTTCTTCATATTTTGATAACCTCTGTTAAGGGTGTTCGCGGACTGGTTTGATACGGTTTCAAGAAAATTCGAGTTCCAAATCCATAAAAAATATATGTATTAGTTTGGATTGAATTTACACATTTTTGTGTTCAAGAAAATTCGAGTTCCAAATCCATAAAAAATATATGTATTAGTTTGGATTGAATTTACACATTTTTGTGATAAAGGTCAAACTGAACTAAACGGAAAAGCAACTGATAATTTTGGTTGGATTGATCGGACACATTAAAAACAAATTTGCAAAAATATTTTTTTATAAATATGTAATTTACATAAACTAATTTTCCATAAAAACAAACGTGCACACCTGACGTTTAAATTTGTCTTCTTGAAGTGGAACATCTTATACTATTTTTTATGATAATGATGATATAAATTATATGAATTAATATGGTTTGTTCGTGCAGACGAGTTCACGGGTAGAAATTTGTACCCTCCTAACGCTCAATTTATTTGAGCTTTTTTGACTTGGTTGAGATAGCTGACACAGTGAGTCAGTTTACATGACCTAATGTGTCAAAATTAACAAATGAAGAACAAGCATTCGACAATCACCTTACAATTTATAAGTTGGTGTATGTGCTAGTTCTCTCAAATTTCCTTTTAATATTGGGTAAAACATTCCCATCACTTAAGTTTGGAAATCTCATCCTATTATTTTCTCATTTTTCGATCATGTAAGTTCTGATTTTTCCAACATAGTCACCTATGGTTTAGTGCTTGACTCAAGAATCACACTATTAAACGTTTATGACATGTTGTTAAGAACAAAGACACATTTAGTATGTATCCTAAATTGTGATTTTCTCGTCATATGTGTAAAAGCTTCTCAATTGACCACTCACATTCTCTTCATTTCTCTTTCCCATGCATGTGGGTAAGTAGAATCTGCAGCCTTACATATGATTTCTTACAACAGGTTTTCAGGATACTTCTTCTGAAAGTTAATATACAAGTGTCTCACATAAAACCTTTGTTCACACTAGGTAAAAGCTCATCCATAGCAGATAATATACGCTACAATAATACAGTAAAATATAAAATACATGAATACAATTGTAACACAACACACATACAACATAAACAAAAGACATGAATGAAAACTTGAAATACAGTTTAAAAAGAAAATCTTCTTCCTCCTCAATATTTACAATGTCCTCAAGATTTAACTCTTCTTCCTCAAGAGGTTTGTCATAAAACTCAGACTGAGACAGTGGATGTTATATATAAACATCAACAATCAAGTGCACCTTACAAAGATTTGCAATAATTAATTCATCTTTGTCATCATTCAAAATATTCATCTGAAATGTTGGGTCCTTGTACCATGCTATATCTATTTTCCTATATCTTATTTCCTTGACTATACCTACTAACTCAAACTAGCTCCACTTGTCAACATCAACTTTTAATTCATAAGTTGTTCCTCCTTCATATATTGTTAGTTCATCATCCAAAAATGAACCACCATGATGAATAAACAAATGAAGGTATTTTTTCATTTCTACCTATGTACAACAAAATTATAATTAAAAAGGGGGCAAAAAATAATGATAACCCTAAAGCCTAAAACTAAAACTTAAAATAGAGCTATGAATAAACATTAAACCTAAACTGAAAACGAAAAACCCTAAAACCTAAAACAGATAACAGTTGAAAACATAAAAACCTAAAACCTAAAACAATAACAGTTAAACCCAAAAAAACCATAAAACCTAAATTGTAAGTGGGCTACAAAAAATAATAACCTTTGTGAATTTAGAAGCTTTAAATGAACCTTTACATCTGTATTTTCCAGAAAACACTTCTCACACCTTCGATTTTTCCTACGCATTCATTGTTTTCAATGTCTTCATCGTCTTCACCATGAGTTTTTCTTCTATTGGGGTTTTGTGAGTGAAAAATTAAAAATGAGCAACCCAATTTTACCTGAGCCTTTTCCTTTAATCATACATGTAATGTTATTTTAATTTAATCTCCACATCAGCGCCAAGTGTACAAGATGTGGCTAATACATTTGACTTTGACTAACAAAGCTAACATAAAGGACAAATCTAACACAAATTGAAGAAATAATGGATCAAATCGGTCCTTTTAAAAGTTAAAGGACCAAAATGGATCCCGAGTTAAAGGTAATGGATGAAAATGGTATTTAACCTTTTTAAATATGAACATCATTTTGTGGGTCTTACCCTGACTTAAACATTGAAGCTTTTTTTCTTCATGTGTTTTTATTTGTATGTGATTATGACATGTCTGGCTTGTATGATTTTAAATCAAAGGTAATAGTCATTGTCCCCTCCCCGTCTCTATTTCCCTTTTTTTTTTATACAAGGACATGCTTTTTGGTCGAACGTGTTTATATTGCAAGAAAATGATTCGAATTCATCGTTTTTGATAATTGACATATTTGTTTCTTTCTACAATAACACCATGTAATATGGACGTTCTGTAGCTTGACATCCCTAGGGGAGTTTGTTGCATGTCCTTATCATATGCAGGGGGAGCATCCCCCAATACGATTATTTGTTGCTTGTCTTATCGCTTTCATTTATTATTGTTTATTGAGTCTTCCTCATGATTGCGCATCTTTTGAATCAAGTTTGAAATCGATTCGTTATCATTTTAGCATGTATAAAATAATGGTTACATTTGAATTTGATCAAAATGTCTTTAGTCAATTACATGGGTTTGTGGAATAAAAACTATATGTGTTTGATTCAAGTTAGGAGCAAAGAATAATCTCAAAGTACCTTTAAAATCATGAAAAATTAAGTTTTTAAGTGTTTGATTCGAATCAAATCCAATAATTGCAAACAAAAGTTTTCAAAACCCGTTGATCAAAATCAGATTTTTCACATGATTCGAATCATACAATTTTCGGTCACCTTTGTCTAAATTGATTCGAATCACACTTTACACATGATTTGAATCACATGGTTTTTCAGCATTTTTCTAAGGGCCTGGAGCATTTGATTTGAATCACATTTTTTACATGATTTGAACCATAGGGTCTCTGATTCGAATTAGACATTATAACTGATTCGAATCAAGTGAAAATGGGTCAAAATAAGAATTATTTTTATTCCATTCACTTGATCACTTGACTCATTACATGCATTGTTCTTGATTCGTATCTAACTAACTTTTTCCATTCATTTTTGTGCTTAAACTCAAGCACATATAAAACCTTTTGTCAACACTTTTTCATGTGTAGAATTTCATATTCGTTTGTGATTTTTTGTGAAATAAACTCTCTCACTTTAAAAAGTTCAAAGTTCTTGCACTTGAATCTTTTTCTTCTTCAACCTTTGTTTTTTGTTTCAGATCTTGATCACGGCAGATCTGTAATTGATTGAGGGAGATATTGTCTTGAAACTACTTGTTCTTAGAGATTATTTAAAGATTATTCATCTTGTTGAAAGATTGAGAAGTTTTCACTAGTACTAACAAATTTTGGTGAAAAGAAGGAGGTTATTCTCACCAGATGGTCGTAGTAGTGATTGTGTGGAAGGCTACGAATAAGGTGGAGTTCTTCTCAAATCTTCAGACAATTTATCGCTTAATGAATCAATAGAATTAAAGGGTTGATTTCCACAAATAAAGGCAGGGAGCAGAATTGGTGATATTGCAAGATTCTTGAAGCGCCAATCGAGTAAAGATACAGAAGATTTTTGTGTGAAGCTGTATACAAGTGAAGATCCATAGTTGAAGTTTTATCTTCTTCAGCATTATTGTGGGTAAGTGATTGTATGAACTCTTTGAATATTTGTCAACCTAATGGAATTATGCAGATTCCTTGAAGAGTGCATGTAGATTCACGCGAGGACGCCAAAGTCGAAGCACTATAAATCCCAGTGTCATTTCTCTACCTTTTACTCTCACATTTTCATTTCGTAGTATATTGCACGCCTATGTTTTTCAAATCATTAAGTAGTTTATCGTTTAATGCTTTGATAGCTATTTACTGCTTAAGATTAGGTTTTATTGGAATTGGGGCCTAATCAAGGTTTAGTGGTGATTAAAATCTGATAAACTTATTGAGTTTAGAATTGACTAATTTAATCATTGTATACTCATCACTCGTGAGTTATACTAGTGGTATCGATTGAATACCTTGTCTATCATCATTAATTCAATTTGTGATTATTGTACATTAATTACATGTTTACATGTATTAGTTTATATTCAAGTATAATCCATTATATTATGTGTATCATCATTGATTACATGTTTTCGAAAAATCAGTTGTCCACTTTTTGAAAAGTCTATTCACCTTTAGATTGTTTTCTTACACCATATTCTCACCCAATAATTGGCATTAAGAGCTAGTCTTTTGATTAAGCCTAATTGACTCCAATTTTTTTGAGAATATGGAAGATGATGACGATCCAAAGGGAGCTTACAATAGAGCACCGGTTTTCAAAGGTGAAAATTATACTTTTTTTAAATCAATCATAAACGTACACTTGTTATTAATTGACAAAAATTTATGGTGTGTCGACACTGAAGGACCTTTTATTCCCACAGGTGATGATGGAGTTGTAAAACAACCAAAGGATTAGAATAATGATTAGACCAA